CTCCCGCCCCCGGGCCTCGCCCGCGTCTCCACGCGGCTCCGCTGAGGACGCGCGCAGCCTCGCGGCCTGGGGCTCGGTGCTGCTCGACCTCGGCCTCATCCTGGCTCTGACTCAGACTCAGAGTGACCGCAGTTTGACTCCAGAGCCACCCAGAAGTTTTGCCTGACCGTAGGCCAGCTGGGTTCCTGGTGCTCTCGGGGTAAATTGTGTGCAGGGAGGAGCCCGTGTGACGCGGGGCAGCGCTGTGGCTTAATCCTGGCTCTTGACTAAGTGGCTTCATCGCTGCAGCAGAGTTACATAAGGAATGAAGGGCAGATGCTGTCCAAAGGGTCCGAAGCGCTAACCTCTTTCTTTTCTTTTCTTTTTTTAGTCGGAGTCTCACTTTGTCGCCCAGGTTGGAGGGCGGTGGTGAGCTCACAGCCACAGCAGCCTCGACGTGATGGGCTCAGGCGATCCTTCCGCCTCAGCCTTCCAAGTAGCTGGAACTACAGGCACGCGCCACCACGCGCGGCTAATTTTTTGATTTGTTGTAGAGTTCTCGCCACGTTGCCCAGGCTGGTGTCTCGAACCCATGGGTTCAGGCAATCCTCTCACCTCGGCCTCCCAAAGTGCTGGGATTTTAGGCGTGAGCCGCTGCGCCCGGCCCTCTAACCTTTTAAAAAATATATGTAAGTATAAGTAAATATATATATATATAATTTTTTTTTTTGAGTCGGGGTGTAACTTTGTCGCCCAGCCTGGAGTGCAGTGGCACAGTCACGGCACACCGCAGCCTCAACCTCATGGTCTCAGGTGATCCTTCCTCCTCCCCCTCCTGAGTTGCTGGGACTGCATGTGTGCATCACCACAGCCAGCTAATTTTTTAATTTTTTTGTAGAGACAAGGTCTCGCTATGTTGCCCAGGCTAGTCTCGAATTCCTGGGCTCAAGCAGTCCTCCCGCCTCGGCTTCCCAAAGTGCTGGGATTACTGGTGTGAGCCACTGCGCCTGGCTAACAGTGCTAACGGTTTTTATTCCTACACTGGAGAGGAGTCATGTGAAAGGGTTAGAGCCCCTCAAGAGCCTAGCACGTGGCCTCCTGCCCCCAGATTCTGGTCCTGGTTCCGTGCAGCCACGTGATGCCCTTTGATAGTGCCCGTTCCTGTATCCCAAGTATGCTAGGGTTCCAGACCATGAGTTTTCTGAAGCTTTCTAGAGTTCTGCAGCTTGGTAAGTATTAGAAGGGGCTGCTGACTGGACGTGGTGGCTCAAACCTATAATCCCAGCACTTTGGGAGGCCGAGGCCAGAGGATTAGCTGAGTCCAATAAGTCGAGGCTACGGTGGTCATGAGTGTGCCATTGCACTCAGCCTGGGTGACAGTGAGACTCTGACTCAAAAATAAAAAATAAAAAATAAATACCAGCATTGACCACCAGCAGCCCCCCTTTTTTTGAGACAGAGTCTCACTCTGTCACCCAGGCTGGAGTTCTGTGGCACACTCACTGTCACCCCAGCATCAACCTGCAGGGCTCTGACAGTCTTTCCACCTCAGCCTTCCAAATAGCTGGAACTATAGGCATGTGCTACCACGCCCGACTAAGCTTTTGATATACTGTAGAGACAAGGTCTCACCAAGTTGCCCAGGCTGGACTCAAACCCATGGATTTAGTCCTCTCACCTTGGCCTCCCAAAGTGCTGGGATTATAGACGTGAGCCACCATGCCTTGGCAACACTGGTATTTATACTTCCTAAAGTGGTTAATGAAAATGTTGAAGGCCAGGCATGGTGGCTCACACCTGTAATCCCAGCACTTTGGGAGGCTAAGGCAAGAGGATTGCCTGAGTCCAGGGGTCTGAGACCAGCCTGGGAAACTTGGCAAGACCTTCTCTCTACAATAAATCAAAAAATTAGCTGGTGTAGTTACACGTGCCTGTGGTTCCAGCTACTTGGAAGGCTGAGGTAGAAGGATCGCCTGAGCCCAGTGGGCTGAGGCTGCAGTGGCTGTGAGCATGCTGCTGTACTCCAGATACTCCATCTCTACAAAACAAACCAGAAAAAAAAAAAAAAACTAGCTAAATGTGGTGATGTGTACCTGTAGTCACAGCTACTCGGGAGACTGAAGTGGGGGATCACTGAGCCTAGGAGTTCAAGGCTGCAGTGAGCTATTTCCATGCCACTGTACTCCAGCCTTGGTGACAGAGTGAGATTCTGTCTCTTAAAAAGAGAGAGAGAGAGAGAGAATAGAAAATGTTGAAGAAGAAGATAAATTTCCAACTACAGAGGATGAATAGGCCAACAAGTTGTTCTCTCTTCAAATATCCAGCCTAGAGTGATATCTGGATAGGTGTTGCTGAAAGGAAAACTTTGGACAAAATGAACTTAACAGTTTATTTGAGCATTAACAGATTCTTGAACTGGACAGCTGTCAAACCAGAAGAGGCTCAGAGACCTCCACTGCAGTAGCTCAGGCAGTGAACTTTATGGACTGAAGAGGAAAGTAAAGAAGTTATTTGATTAACTATGGGTAGGCATCTGCCTTATTTGGATATGGTCACGTGGGAGGTCCCTAATGATAGAACCTTGGCTGGTTGACTGTTTGTAACTGGGTGATGCTGGATTCAAAAGTAAGCAATTACAGGACACACTAAATTTTGGTTAATTTTCCCGGTACAGAAACAGCTCCATGCTAATGACCTGCTGCTTATTTTGCTTTAACATTATCAAGCATCAAGACTTTAGCAAAAATAGAAGGCAGCATGGGAATGTTAAAGAGTATGTGAGGCCAGGTGTGGTGGTGCGTACCTATAATCCCAGCACTTTGGGAGGCCAAGGTGGGAGGACTGCTTGAGCTCAGGAGATCAAGACTAGTCTAGGCAATAAAACAAGACTTTGTCTCTACAAAAAAAAGAAAAATCAAAAAATTAGCTGCACGTGGTGATGCACACCTGTGGTCCCAGCTACTCAGGAGGCTGTGGTGAGCTGTGATTATGCCACTGTACTCCAACCTGGGCAACATAGACCCCAGCTCAAAAAATAAAAAGAGTGAGTGGTGGTGGCAACAGAATGGTACTCCAAAAAATACCTTACATGTAGAGTTCCCTCAGTAGATGTTTCCCCTCCCCACAGTTTTTTTTTCTGTACTTTAGTGGATGCAAATTTTTTTTTTTGAGTTGTAGTCTCACTCTGTCGCCCAGACTGGAGTGCAGTGGCCGCTAC